GAAGGAAGAAAGATCAGCCTGGCCCTGGGAGATTTGGCAATATATATGAGCAGTGACTTCAGTGGGGTGAGTATAGCTCAGCGGTAGATGGCATGCTTAGCATGCACAAGGTCCTGGTTTCAATCCCCAGTACCTCCACTAAAAGAAATTAAATAAATAGATTAATAAATACACCTAATTACCCCCCTAAAAAACAAACAAACAAACCAACAAAAAAGCCAAAACCTAAAAAATACCACTACTAATAAAAGCACTAACACTGCTCCTTCCAACAAGCAATTCCACAAAACAAACAAACAAGACACTGAGAAGAAGAGCAAGTGCAGAAGGGACTGGAACAGAGAGCATGCCGTGCACGGCTCAGCACAGACCCTGCCCAGAGTCAGCGCCCCTCTGCCGCCCCGTCTGCCACACATGCGCCATAAGCTGCAGTCCAAACAGGCTGTGGTTTATTCTGAAGCACAGAGCTCAAGGAGTTGTCTGGACGTCAGGTAACAGATCCCTGGGCATTTTGTTTTAATGTTTTGGTAAGTACGTTAAGAAGAAGCCATTGGGGTGAGCCCTTATCCAGTCTAACCCAGCCCCGTACAGGCAGAGATGAGGACACGGAGGGCAACGAGGGCTGCAGGCACACAGAGAAAAAGGCCACGTGAGGGCGCAGCGAGCAGGCGGCCGTCCGCAAGCCAGGGACAGAGCGAGGCTTCAGGACAAACCAACCCTGTCGACACCTTGAGCCTGGACTTCTAGCCCCAGAACTGTGAGCACATAAACGTCTGCCCCAGCCTGCGAAGTCTTGTTACGACAGCCCTAGCAAACTAACATAAAGGTTTTGGTTTTGTTTCTTGATGCTGCTTTAATCCAGTAAGTCTTCACCGCATGCCTCCTCTGCGAGAAGCACAGTTCTAGGCGCTGGTTCACAGAATCATCTAGAGACAGTCCTTGCCCAGATCCTCCCCCTGTTTAGAGGGAGAAATCAAGACCACCAAACTCCAAGTAGGATGAAGCCTGTGACAGAGGCAGCACCAAACCTTTTCAAAAGCAGAGCAAACAAAACCACCCCATCTGGGAAGTGGGCAAGAAGAGGGACCGGAGAGCTTCAAGGTGGGTTCAGACAGTGAAGAGAGGGGAGCATCTCAAACGATGGAGCAACACAGGCAAACCCAGCACCCAGTGCACACAGGGCCCAGCAAGACGCCCAGCCGGGCGGTGGGAGACTGTGACAGGACACATGAGACGGAGAGGGAGGTCAGTGACTCCGGGCACACGTGACGGAGCTTGGACTTTAATTTCCAGAAGATGAAGACTAATGAAAATAAAGAAGGCAGATTAAGGGGCAAGAGAGCAGATACACAGCACAGACCGTAGAGGGTAACACACCGCACGGTACCCACCTGCCTTACAGTCGCCTCTTCAACAGCAACATGCTTTCCACTGACGTTCGCTCCTTTCCTGATCACCCCGACCCTTATCATCTCTTTCCTTGTGACTCAGATATAAGAAAGAGGTTGCCATCGCCCGACTTCCAAGCTGGGGACTAGGGTGTGACAATGTGGGTAAGGGTCACGACCCAGTGACTCAGAAAGAGAATTGAAGCCTGAGACGGACCCAGCAGATCCAAGCTAGAGGCTCGTGCGTTTTCACCACGGAGCCATCAGTCTGGCTGCAAACAGCTGGTGCCCTTTGTCACTGCGCCTTTCACGCCCTCCACCCCACCCGACACACCCAGGACTCCACTCATCCACAGCAAGGAAAGCCACAGACCAGACCAGGAAGAAGGGGACAAAGGTGACCCCTTGGCTTCTGAGCATCTAACAGCTCAGGATCTAGTGATTTCCAGGGAAGTTAGGGGACTTTCCAGACTATTTCTGACCTCAAGGGACCTGTGCCTTCCACACTGACTTGAGACGCTGTCCCTGCGTCAGAAGGGCCCCCCTGGCGTGCGCTGATAAACTCACCTCAGGTCTCATAACGGGCCCGGGCAGGACAAGCACACAGCACAGTTAGAATGACAAGGACAAAGAAAGCCACTGTGAGGACTGAGAAGACAGAGCAGCCTCTCCTCCTCAGTCCCTCCTCCAACAACACCCAAGAGGCTGCCCTGAAGCGACGTGGCAATGAAGCTGGGCGAGGAACAGCAACAATGCAGGCTCTCACTGCACCAGGAGGCACCCGCTGTCCTTGCGCCTCCCTTCAGCCCCTGGACGGTCTGCCTCCCAGTCTCCTCCTGCAAGGTCTCGCCTTAGACGTTCAGGGTTCGGGGCGTGGACGGGCTGATAGATGACAAATCGGCAGAGTGAACAACTGGGTCCCGATGCTGAAGACAATCCTGGGAATTCACCGCATCGCTTGGCCTGTCTTACAAAATGGGCAAGTGCAGGGCCAGCGCAAGCTCCTAGAATTTAAAGACTCGTGTTTTAACACCAGCACATGTCGATCACACCGCTGATCTCAAAGCAGGAGTGTACATTTATGCCCCACCCCCAGCCTCTTTGTGGGTGAACTCCACCTCCCCCTAGACTGTCTGTTCAGCCAAGTGACCTGCTCTGGTCATGACACAAGCAGAAGGTCGAAATGCACTCGTATGACCAGGCTTGACCCATTACACGCTGGCCATGACCATGAGAAGATCATGCCCCGGACAACCAGCTGGTCCAGAGGGATGAGGGACGTGGAGCAGACCTGGAGCCCACCCACAGCCTGCATCCAAGCCCAGCCAAACCGGAGCAGCCCAGCCCGCCCCCAGCCAACCTGCAAGAGCGGAAGCAAATGTTGGTTTATGCCACTGGGTTGGAGTGGGCCCATGCAGTATAACTGAATAATAGCCAAGAACAGGCAGTAGAAATACAGGAAAAAGAATGACAAACCACATAGGTATGAACTCAACAAATCATAGTCTCTCCCCATCAACTTCCAAAGAATGTTTCCAAAAACATCTGAGTGGCTCTCTTCTTCACCTCTGCCCTCAGGCACTATCTTTCAATAAGAGATGAAAACAGCTCTTGAAATACCAAACGTGTGCAGAAAAACAACTCTGGGTTTCAAACACAAATACCAGCAGAGAAATCCGAAAAGGGCTTGTGAGGTCAAAAGAAGGAAAAAAAAATCTGAAATATCACTAGCCTTTCTCATAACCTTCCACACCTAGCACATATCATATTTCTATTCTTCTCATCTTGAAAGTTATAAAACATAAAAATAATAAGATTTATGAAAAAGAGAATTGAAACTGAAAAAAGATTTAGCTTCAGGGCTCAGAATAACTTTATGAGAGAAAGTTCAGGGGTCACCATGGTGGCTCTCGGTGTGGACACCTCTGCGGGGCTGTTTTAAAAGCCCTGCCACGGTGACAGGGAGAAAGTCAGTGGACGAGATGGGCAGAAACCTCTCCACTCACTGCTGCACTGCCTCCTGGGCACTCAGTATACTGATGACCTTGCACACAGTAACTACTTGGTTTCCATTTTCCTTACATGGAGCAGATTTTAGCTCCCTCCTGGCAAATTTGCTGAGGAAAGTATACATCATGTCAGGAACAGTCTAACGACCGGGCTTCATAAGTCTAGGGCATGGTACTGCTTCTTCAAGATGATGCAACGTCAATAATGAAAACTGTTCACAGCCTTGCTGGTGCGTCATCTACACCTCGTTGTTCAGAAATGTATGACTGAAGCATTGTGCTGTACACCAGAAACTGACACAACGTTGTACACTGACTATACTTCAATTAAAAAAAAAAGTTAAAAACAAAAACAAAAAAATAGAAATGCAACTGAAGTCTCTGCTCAGTTTCCTGCACAGAAACCTCTCCATGAAACCAATGGTGAGAAAGTACCTCAGAACAACACGACAGCACCAGGAGGAAAGAGAAGGAAGTCTGGTCGCAGGAGCCCTCACTTACTCAGTGCTTCCTGTAACCAGAGAGGACGTCTCTGGGACCAGCACCACCCACGACCTCTGAGGACGGCAGCTCCCCCTCTGCCCATGAGAGCCAGTCCACTTAACCCCAGGGCAGGCTGAGTCGCCTAACGGTACGAGGGCATTTTACCCAGCATGATGCTGACCTCACGATCAGAGCTACTCCATGCCGTTAAGTCTGCCCCCAGGAGACGGCCACCGGGCGCCACACTTTCACGTGAAGGGCGCCCCAGTCAGGGCTCTGCCAAGACGTGTCGTTAAACCTCATCTATCCAGCCTCGCCAATACTGGAGGGAGATCTTCATCCTTTGGGGAAGTTTCACCTCAATAGACCTCAAACACAAACCTAGGATTCAGTCACCAGCTCTGAACTCCTCCTCGCACGTGGAAGGACAGACGCTATCAAAGCAGAAAACTGGAGTCTGAACCTCAAACCTGATGTAGCTGACCCTCCACGGATGACACAAGTTTCTCACCAACTCAGCAAAAAACGGGACCATAAAGAAACGCGCATTTTGAAGCACGGAGTCTGAAAAACCAGAGGCCGTCACTGACATCTTCTCTCAATGAGTCTTGCAGAAAATGCAGACCATCACGGCCTTTGAAACCTACAGAAAAAATTCTAATAGGAAATTCCTAGTTGAGAAATTTCCTTAAGTCTAGCCAGGCTATAAACATGTATTCTTCAATATTGCCATCAGAAGTTTGTTTTTGTTTTTTTTTTTCCTTTAACACATCGCTTTCGTACTGGGTTTAACAAAAGCAGAAAGGCAGATTGGATGTCCTTGGATATTAAGTGCAGATTAATACGTGTTCAGTCAAAAATAGAAAAAGTCCACGATCGAGAGCAAACACGTTAAGCACCAGCATCATCTCTGCGGGTTAAAACACGCATGGCTGTAATGACGACCTTTTCCATTTCTTCAAAATCAAACCAGAGTCCCAACCTCCCAAAAGTCACTAATCAGTTCCGCTGACCTGACCCAAAGCAAATCACACCATCGCCTTCTTTGCGAGAGAAAGAAAAAGTTTTACCGATTTAAGCCAGCACGGTAAGATTACAACACCTTTTTTAGAGTCCTTACTTTCAAAATGTTTTGGGTTTCATTCCACTTGTTTGTCCATTCTTTGGTCAATTCTTGAACCTAAAAGGGAAAAAGACACATATGTGATCGCTCCATTGAAAATAAAAATTATTGTGATTTTATTCTAGAACGTTTCCAAGCTCTTACAGATTGTGGACGGATGTACCATACTTTTTTTTTTAATTAGATAGCAATTTCTAGCCGTGAAGGAACCATCACCAAATATAAATCAAACAAGCTGAGCTCACCCTGCAACCTACATTGTAGCAAAGGAAAGAACAGAAACAAATCTGTCTAGTTGCCTGGAGCAGACTTTTTTTCATGGTGGACTTAAATAAAAGCTGCTTCCTTGGATACTAACCAAAATTACATGTTCAAAGATGACAACATCCCATTAAATGGGCTGATTTTTCCTGATCACACTTTCGGTCCAGAGAAACACTGATTTACTTTCCTAATTAGATGAAGTGATTAAATCACCTCAGGTGCTGCGGTTTTCTTTTAGGAGATAATCTGCTTTTGTAGCTAATTAATAGGGTTTATAAATCTCATTCTATCTTTAAAAAAAAAAAAGGTGGCTCTTTAATTGACTCAGTAAAAGCAAAACTCTTTTGATAAAAATCAGCTTCTTTCCAGTCTGCTGTAACTTAAGGGAGAAAGTATCCCCCACTGTCGAATGCAGCACAGTGGGAAACTGCTGCTCCAAGTTAATGAAAAATATTCTGCTAGTTCCATAAACCTTTTTAAATGACCTTAGTGAGTAACTCACTAAGAAGCAAAAAGTGATACCTGAATGAGAGGTAGAAAAAAGAAACAATGGAAGAACCCTGTAAAAGGAGGCATACTCAGGGCTAAAGGAGAGTGACCGCCCAGGGGCAGAGGAGGGGACGCATCACTCCAAAGCCCTGTCCCTTCTGTCCTCCAGGACTCCTGCCACCTGCCCGCTCCCAACAGCAGACATCATCCCATTTCAAAGGCTGGCCTTCCCACTGGTACGTGATCCTGTTTAACAGGTCAAAATGAACGCCCAGAAGGCACCTGGTTATACTCCAGCTGCTCAGAGGAAGACTTGCCACGGGCCATCAAGTATGGGAAGTGGAAAGGGCAGGAGTCAGCGACCTTCCTGACAGATGGCGGTCCGTCACCCACAGGAAGCAGAGGAACCGGCGTGATGGTTTATCCCACAGCAAAACCACACCACCTCTCACCCGCCGGCACCCATTCAGCGGGCATTCATTTCACTCCTCAGTTCACCTCCAACAGAACTATAGGGGCTCTAAGCTGACCTTTTGTTTTAATAACGTATCTTCTTCTACTAGTGACTAATGTCAACTCTATCATCTCCTTGGTGAAAAACAAAAGAAACAGGACTGAGCCTCCCTGACTTTGTTTTTCGCTTGTTTTCAGGGGTTAGGAAAGCGTCCTGTCCCTCTGGAACCGGCCACACACACAGGACTTCGCGGCATCACTTGAGGGGCGCCGGTCCCGGGGCCTCTACCAGTGGCAAGAGGAATCAGGGGGCTTTCAGTTTTGGAAAAGTTTTCCAAGCGGGAGCATTCTTCTGCCTTCTCCCCCTACAGAAGGGGAAAATAGCAGGGGGATGAATTCACAAACTTATAATAATCAACTAACAGATTCTCATAGGCAATTTATCTGAGAAACACAAAGCATTTAATAAGAAATGTTTCTTCATTTCACCAACAGATAAGTCCTCCCTGAAGAAACGTGAAGCCAATCAATCCTTTTCCAGTTCAACCAAGTAACTTGAGTTTTAAACAGATAGTAAGTGTGCCTTGGGTTTACTTTACTTTTGAATTTAAACCAAATAATCTTCATTTATAATTTTTTTTAAAAAAACGCAGAGTCTGATACCACCTGTAATAATGAGACCAGGTGGTAAGATTTACAGCTAAGAGACGCCAACTATTTCAAAAGTTCAGCAAAAACCTAGATGCAAATTTAGAAAATGTTATAAACAAGAGGGGCAGTCATTTCTGTCCCAGCATGGATAATGGATTAAATTAAAATGCTTATTGCTTCCTATTAACTTGCGAGGTATTCCTGAGAACTATTAGTAAGAAACAATTTAAGACAATATCCAGACATTTCAAAGCACTCAAAATTAAGAGTCTGAAGAACTAAAATACAAAATGTCAAGAGAAAAATAGGGATTAAGAAACTAATATTGTCACTAATGCTATTATCAGCAAATTAATCAGCATAATTATCCAGGGAAGTGTCAACAAGTTCCTCATTACCCCCCAGCTGACACCTTCAATGCTGCGTATTCTTGGAAGAGCTTTACCAACAGAACCCAATTTTCCTTCTCAGTCTGTTTTAACCATTCAGCACAGTGAACAAAACCCACTCCGAAAATGTCCTTAATGCCTGTTTCACAGAGGATTCTAGTTAAAAAAAAAAAAATAGTATCGAACCAGGTCAACCGTGAAACGAGTTTTCAAAAAGCGCCAGCACAGAAACCGTGGCTTCAGCCCACAACACTCTGTCTCCCGGCCACTCACTGCCCCCCTCTCCCCGCCTCAGATCCCACCTCGCTTAAGAGCAACTAACCATCTGCTCAGAGGATTCAGTGATTCCTCAAGCGCAACTTCCCGCTGGAAAGAAAAGGATGACGCAGGACTCGACGGCGGTCATGGCAGAGCCCTGGGGACCAGCACCATGAACACGGCCTCCCTCTCCCACCAATTCCGAAGGCCCGAGAGGCCTCCCCGCCACTTCGCACGGCCCGCGTGTGAATCTCGGTTGCAGTCAGTTAACCATCGTGTGCCAGGCAGATCCCAGAGTCACAGAGAACTTGAGGAGATACATGGGAAGTCAACTGTAGTGCTTCTTTAAAACTGGGGTGGGACAGGGGAGTAGTAACTATCATCACAGAAGAAAATGAGTCTCAAACAGCAGGTATTAAAACGTGCGCACTTAAAATAGTAAAAGTTATCCTTTGAAAAAAATAAATAACAAGTCAAGGTGTCACTTACTCTTGCTTCATTCTGCTGAAGTTTCTCCTCCATACTTAAGGCCGTGGGAGAGTCTAAGAGGGCAATCTACAATTTAAACCACAAAAATGAGCAGTTAGTCAACAGCAACAATCTGGAGGCAGGATCTGTCCACGACACCGCAAATCATCAAAAGTTGCCAAATAAACAATTAAACAGAGGTAGAAAGTACTGCTCTGTACGCCTCCCTGAAAGTGCCAATCATCATTAAATCTTTAAGCCATGGAGTACATATTTCATAATATTCAAATCCACGGCAACCTGGGAAACCTACATTTGCAACACAAATCAGCAAAGAGGAGGAAAAAGACAAACATGTAACATACTGACATTTTACCAAAATCAAACACAGTTTAAATCCCTAGATCCTAAAGGATTTGTCTGTTTTGAATATGCACAAAGTACAAATTCAAAAAGTAAGAAGCGTTCAGTCGGGCTCAACTGCAGGCTTTTGAGATTCGTCCATGCTGACACTTGCAAATGCAACTCCTTTATCGTCACTGCTGGACTGCAGTCCGCGGATGGGATGGTTATACCACCACCTGGGTGTCCATTTCCTTATCCGTGTTGCAAAGGTATGACAACTGACATGAGACTGGTCATGTCAGGTCAGCCTCGGGGGGACAAAGACAGAGACCAGAGATGCAAACGCAGCCGGGTGAGGTGCAGAGGGACTTTGGCTGCATTTGTAACTCACAACCTGAAAGGCAGGGACATGGGGCCCCCAAAGATGTCACCAGAAAGAAAGAAGGAAGGGTGTCCCCCTCCCTCCCCATCCCCTGGGCAGCCTCTCCTACCCAGATTGCTACATAAGTGTGCAGTTATTCTGGGCATATGTAAGCATGTTTTTGGCGCTTTTCTAAACATACAGCATGATTGCCATTCCAAATAGTGCCTTTTTCACTTAACAATCTATCTTGGGGAAAAGTTAGTACCAGTAAGTCCACTTCATTCTTTTTAACAACTCCAGTTCCGCTATTCAGTATTCCCTTGTAAAGATATCCTACCATTTACAGCAGTGTGTTCCTATTAACGGACACGCAGGTCTTTCTCATCTGCCTTCCCTGCGAAGCTACCATCTTACACCAGCTGCCGGCAGCAGTACGCGTGGCTGCATCAACAGAACAAATTCCTACGAGGGAATCTGCGAGTCAGCTCTATGAACGATTTTTTTGCCCAGGTGTCCTCCCCTAGAGGCTGCAGTAATTTTTTCACTATCATTTACTCTTCAATTTCTACTAAAAAGAATGGAACCCACGAGTTGATCCTGAGGCTCAGTTAAACATTCAGTCTAATGAGGCCACCTGGGCCACACGTGGCATCTGTGTGCTGGGCCGAGGACAGAGCCGTGGCCGGGAGGGCGAGGGCGTCACTGCAGTCCCAGGTGACTGTCTCTGGGCCCCTTGAGGGGTCCAGATTCAAACACCCCACACGAGGTGACTTCTCCTGTTTAACACACAGACGCACGACCTCCAGGGCGGGCCAAGGACACCAAGCACCACGACAACAGGGGGACCCAGAGCCACGTCGTTTACACACTGTCCACCCTAATCCCGACGAAGCTCACCCGGTAGGGGTCACGGTTATCACTAGAGATGTTGTCTGATTACAAGCTGGCATCTCACTTTTATTCAGTTTACTGAGAAGGAAGCCAGCAAGTTAGCCTTTAGTAAAGGCAAGTCACCTTTAGTGAAGGGAAAGCTTTGTTAACTCATTACCACGACACATCACTGCACACCCTGCATGTCGTCCTGCACCAGGATGGTACCCAGCAAACATCTCCCACTGAAGAATGTGGGTGCCAGGTGTTGCTACAACTGCAGTTTGTTATATGGTTGACAATTCTCAAAACCATCAGTAACCCCTTCACAACACAGTGAATCTTAGACTCCGCTGTTAGGATTTTGCATCTACAATCAGAGCGTAAACATTCTTACCGCACCGTCAGTTCAGGAGATCGTCACTGACAGAACATATACATGCAGGCTCCTATTTTGAAGCGCATGTAAAAAAAGATCGACCTAAATCCTTTAAAAGATACCTTTGGTAAAATTAAACCATTTTCAATTAAATTATTCCTTGCAAGCTGTCTGGCTAGAAGAAAAATGTTCAGGATTAAATAACACTCAGATTAAAGTCCTGTGTTGAACCAGGAGTAACACTCCATCAAAACTGCAGCAACCTCGCGCCTCCCACCCCTGCCCCTTCACTGTGCAGTCAAGGGTTTCATCTTTGCACAGCTGGTGAGTATAAAGGACCTCTCCTCGTTTTTAAGAACTTTGGGGTATAATGTCCATGCAGTGAAATTCAGAGGCTGATGCCTCTCTCTGTACCCACATCCGCACACAGACCCGCGTCACCACCCTTCAGATCTTCACTGACCACACTGCAAGTGGCGCTGAGCACACGTCCACACGTTCAGAAGCCACTTCAAACTCTCTTCTCTGTAAACTGTACTCATGTGCGTTGTTCATTTTTCTGTCCGGTTGTGATCTTATTTTTCTAAGAGGCCCTTTTCATAATAAGAAAAGCAGTTTTTTGCAGCATGAGTCAGCAATCTTTTTCCTGGTTTGTATCGATCAGAATAAATTTTCATTATATCATGTAAGTATGCTGGGTCCTTACTTACTTCTGTCCCCGTGAGCGCGCACGGCACGGGAAAGAGGAGGTGAAGTTCCTTGTGACAGGTGTGTGTGTGGCTCTGTCTCCTGCAATTTCCTACAGCTGTCTTGTTTTTTTTCTCTCCTTTCATGAAAACTGACTTCACATTTGATCTTAATCATGAATCGCATTCTTCGTCATGACAAAGGGCTGTTTTAAGGCTCACGCAACGCTGCTTCTGCCCCGCCTTCTTTCCCCTTGAATTAACTGGTGGGTCTTTGCCAAGTCTCACAAACACATCAACTAGTTTTCTTTTGCGACCCTCTCTGAGATGTGTCCACCGTAAAGGTTCACATGTAATGACATTTCTGTTCTCCAGCTATTGTTTAAAGTTCAGCTGTGACTCCAGTTACACAAACGAGAAATCCTGCCTACTTCCGTCTTTTCTTCCTCGAAGTCTTCTTTGCTGCCCGGGCTGTCCTTGCTCATTTCATCTCTATATTGTTTCATTTTCTTGTTACCTTCAGATACATTCAAGAGAGAGGAGTTAACAGACATTTTCCCTCTGCCAAATTCAAAGCAGAAGTCTGAAAATATGCTTCAAATGTAACAAAAGAGAACACGTGAAGAGACAAGAGATCCAAGTGCTCGACTTCATTTATCATCTGAGAAGCACAAACTAAACCCATCCTGCGACACCGCTCTGCACCCAGCAGAATGGTTATGATGAAAAACAGGCAATACCACGTAGTGACAAGGACCTGCAGCAACCAGAACTGGCATCTTCATATCCTGATCGTGGACTGTAAGTCGGTATAACTTTCTTAAATTATTTGGCAGTATCCACTAAAACTGAACATACGTACACCCCCTGACACACCAACTCCACTCTTGGGTATAAACCGTGCAGACATGCACCTGTACATTCACAAAAAGACATAGAGAAGGAAGTTCAAGCAGCACTGAGAGCCCTGAAAAGGAACCTCCCCAAAGCTCATCAGAAACAGAGCAGATGAGCTGGGACACACTTGCATCGTGGAACACAACACAGCCCCCAAAATGACGATAAACGGATCTACAACTTCCTGGACCACTGTGGATGCATCTTACAAATACAATGTTGAGTAAAAGTAGGATCAAACGAATACATATTTCATGATTATATTTTAGAAAGGACAAAAACCGGCCAAACTAAAAACTAATCTATGCCTTGAGAAGTCAGGATATTGGCTACCCTTGAGGGGAAGGGCAAACAGCAGCCGGAAAGGACCACGAAGACGAGTTGCTAGGGTGCTGGTACCTTCTGTTTCGTGATGGAATGCAGGTTCGATGGGTGAATTCAGCTTGTGAAAATTCACTGATTCACATATTTACAATATGTATAATTCTTCAATAAAAAGCTCACATATGCATGTATGTATAAACCACCACATAAATATATCTGTGTATCTATGTACCAGGAGAAGCAAGAACACGTCAGAATCTTTTGCTTTAACGGTGCTTCTGAAATTCTGATACACATGGCACTTTGCAGTGGCAAGTACATAAAATTATCAGAAGCAGGAGTTTTTATCTGGCTGTACTTAAATAACCCAGAAGCAGGACTGATGTGAGTAATATATTCAGCGAACCACAGCAGCATTTGGGATAGAACACCGTGGGAATACAGCCACGTCATCAGGAAAATGTACAGAGGAACTTTCAATGGACACGTAAGCACACCTGCTTATTTGGAGCAGCACAAATTTAATTAATGTCGGATAAGCCTGTATTGTCTCACAGTAATTTACAGCTTCAGAGTGATAAATTATTTTAAATTGGACTCTTGTTTTTACTGTAATGTATTAAGTTTATCAAAGAACATAATCTTTACTGCATCCTAAAATAGACAGCTATCTTTTCCGTCCTCACTGCCCCCCACAAACTACAGTAAAAATAATCCTTCAATTACCGTGGTGGGCTTTTGGCCACAAAAGAACCAAGACAAAATGTTGCAAAATATAAGGCAACTGGCACCTCTGAAGACATTCCTCAGACAGAATTTGTGAAAGTTTTAATAAAGGTTTTCCATCCACGTGATAGGCTCCTTTCTAGGATTTCCTTAGTTTAGTTTTAAAAGGTTGATCTTTCTTTTCCTTCATTTTCATGACTTAGTAACATGTTAAGTACAAGAAATTTAAGAATTTTCCAGACACTCTCCTTTCCCTGTGGCAGTTTGGGTGAGCCCATCAAGTCGTCCTACTTCAGGTAAATGTTTTAAAAACTTTGGAAAAAGATCCCAGTAGCAAGGTGTTCTAGTGGAAATGAGCACTGAGGTTCGTGCCAGAAGTGCTGTGAGCCTGCCAGCACCACACGCAGCTGGACCGTGCGCACCGACAGCTTCCTTTCGCACGCAGGAAGGCTCCGCATCAAAGAGGAAAACGTACGTGGAGGTATTTCTACATACGGAGCGATTCCTACCCCACCGTGGTCAGCCAGCTCACAGGGAAGGGCTGTCAGGTGTTCCAGGGCAGAGGAAACCCAGGTGTCCAGCCTGTCGATGCTCTCACAGGTCAGACCACTAATGGGATGTCGAGGGCTTCGAGGGCCACATGTTCCTGGATGGAAAACTGCTCTAAAGGGAGCACTTTGCATTTAAAGAAAAGTATTTTTTTTAATAAGACTTCAGATATCCATTCCTGGGCTAGGGGAGTGGGAAGAAATGTATCTTTGTTTATTTCTAACTCCCATTTAACTTGAACATTTTCAAAAGCTACCCCTGATTTTCTTTCACAAGTGACCCTATCAGAGCCTGGCACACCACGATCACAGAACGTGGCTCTGTCTGCCCGCGGTGCAGATTACACGGAGGTTTACCGTGAAAAATACGAAAGGACAAGGCTCCTTCACTAAACACAGAAAGACCCTGAAGCGAGGCTGCTTCAACAACCAGGCAGGAGCCCAGACATCGTCTCAGCCAGGCCGCAGGCACGTCACACCTGTCACTGTGTCAGCATCACCGCTTCCACAGTGGGCGACGCAAGATTCAGAAAGCTGTTCAAATGGGTCTTTCAGTCTGCTAAAATACAGTTTTTAAGTCATAAAATGCATGGGTAGAATTTTAAATGTTACTCCAAGCACCTCAATTTCCTTCCACTAATGGACATTATGCTACTACTCCTATTGCAGGCTAAATTTCCATCCATAATTGATAACCATTAGGTAGTCAGTCATTTCAGGTCTAGGGGACAAAATCTTACACACGGAGCACACAAGGACGCAAAGGCCGACAGGAGGACGATGTGCAGGACAGCCCGGCTCACGTCTCCACAGCTTTTCTGAGCACTTATTTACTCAAGTCAACACAATGGGTGAGACAAGTGTCTCAGGCGGATCTAGAAAGAGACGCCATTACTCAGAGAAGGCGACCCACGGATCTCAGAGGAACCGACCTGACTGCCCTGAGCAAGCAGCGTCTTCAGCCTGGCGATTTCCGCTCGCAGCTCCCGGATGAGCCTGACGTTGGGGTCCTCGTTGACGGTGGGCTTGTTGATGATGTTTTTGGCTCTGTTTGCATAGCGGAGGGTGCTGAGGGTCTCCCCGTAATTGACATCAGCGGGTGAAATGGCTGTGAAGCATGAATTCAGAAAACAATTTACCCAGCACTCCGTCTCATTTTAACACAAATTCGGTTTATAATTTAAAAGTCAGATTAACCCCGGGTCATTGGAGAGACTAAATATTCATTGCCACGGTCATGAATATTAAAAATGATCTCAGACCCTTGGAAGGGCACTCATTGTACCAAATTAAATGCCATTTCGCACGTCGTAAGTTTAGAATCAGCCATCTAACTAAATCTAAAATGAGATGAGACACTCCGCTGCAGTTTAGGGAGTTTCCTCTGTTGAAAGTATAAGAGGAGGGTTTCAAGACTCTTTACCCTTCTCAATATGAAGTAGAAATTAAAATGCTTTTAAAAATTCAGGCAAAACCTACCATCTGTAAAAGTCCAGAGCGTGAAAATTTTTGGAAAGAGTCAGTAAATCAGCTCGTTCTTTTCTGCCTAAAGCTTCTGGCTAATCGCAGCCCCACCCCACCCACCCCCACGACAAACTGTGGGGCTTAACTGACCCCACTGCTGCATCGTCTGGGGTGCACACCCTGGGGCAGACCCTCTGCCTCCAGTTCCCAGGAGGCTTAGTGGGTGGGGTGGCGTGGAAACGGGGGGAGGGGGCCACGGGGAGTGGAGTTAGGAGGGAGAGAGCTTCTGAGTTCTCCTCGACAGTTATCTGCCCTTTGCACACTTTTTTTCTCTCCTCTGCTTCTTCCAGTTAATTAATGAAAACAGAGAAGTAAAATGTTACTGTCATGGTTCTTTACTGTATTCACTGTTTTTTTTTCCCCCTCTCAATTCTTAAATTCCACATTTACTGCTTTAGAATAGAAAAACAAAGTTGGTTTACTTTGACTTAATGTCCCTACAGTGACCTTCGCCCACGAGAAGCAGAGTAGAAGTTTCTAACCTGACCTTTAAGCGAAGAAAAGCTGACATCACCCTGCGAGTATCCCAGCTCGCAAAACCGGGAACGTGGCAGCGTGTGTGCCTAAGATGGGGGGAACGAGTTAACACAGTGCTGTCGCTGGATCACAGTAAGTGATTGTCTTCAAAATAGAAAAACTACTTTTTTAATAAAAAAGGTGCTATTTCCTAATGAGACACTTGAAACTTCAATATTTACAGCTAATTCACAGAAAACACTATACACTGAGGGAAAAAAAACTTAAGACTCTTACTCGCAATCATGATGGTTTTAGAGTTTCCTCCAAGGCTGTCTTTTAACAACCAAGTCAAAACAGAATCCCTGTAAGGCACAAAAACTTGTTTCTTCTTTACAAAAGGGTTTGATGCATCCTGAGATATATCAGCTGGAGGGGGAAAGAAAAAAGGGGGGAAAAATTAAAGACAATTATTTAAGTCTTTTTTTCCCCTAATTTGGCTTCAAAAAACCAGATTTGTAACACAAACATGAAACGTTTCAGTGCTCCGTACTAACACAGCAGCACCAGAATGAGCGGAGGCGGGAGTCGCCCCGAACCCACCTAAGGCAGAGATGACGTTCCCCAGGGTCACGAGGGACTTGTTGATGTTCCCCCCCTCCTTGAGGCGGACCCCAGTGGCCCCCGTGGCATCCGCGCGCTCGCTTCCCGCGAGGTCCACTAAGTGGATCTTACTGACGGTCTCGCACGGCATTTCAGAGTCAAACTTCGCCTGGGGTGAAACACAGAAGCAAAACCGCAAAGTATGAAGACCGCTGGCGCTGTTTATAGTGTAAATTCCAATTGTTTTCCACGCCTCACACTCATCTCTCGGGGGAGTTTTTTTTTTTTAATTTCGTTGTTTCATTAGCCTTCTTACTGATTACAGAAACTAAACTGAATACAGTAGGAATCTACAAGATGTGACTCTTAAAGTTTCTGAAGAACTCTGTTTTCCGTGACTCAAATCACGTGGTCATTCTCAAAAAGGGCTGAGTCCAACGGTGACAGTTCAAGAGACTAAGGCCCTGAGGGGGGCACTCAACAAAGAAAAATACAAGTAAACAAATGACTGCTTTTGTTCTCATCTAAAAATCTTCAATATTACAGGCACAACGGCTTTCCAAAACATGACAAATATAGACAACTATGTGAAAGATCATTCAACCATTATTTGATGTTAAAATTCGATTTATTTCACAATTACAAAATAGTGAAAATCTTTTTCCTTTTTTTTGGCTAGGGGAGGTAATTAGGTTTACTTATGTATTTTTAGAAGAGGTGCCGGGGATTGAACCCAGGACCTCGTGCATGCTAAGAATGCACTCTACCGCTTGAGCTATACCTTCCCCTTACAAAACAGTGAAAATCTTAAGTATTATATTCTTTGGTTCTGGATTCTAACAAAACTTTACATTCCTAAAGATTTTTAACCTATGCTTTACAGGCTAAACCAAAATGCCAAAAAGAAATTACTATATTTTGATTGAAACATAAGCCCCTTAGATACAGGGGTGGCCACATTCTAATCCACATTTACCAGAAAGCAGGAGAAAACCAGGCAACGACAGTGAATCAAAAGACAATGTCTAACGAAAGGCAAACTTGTGAAGAATGCACCGAGAGTTGTTCCAGCTGACCCCAGAGAACGTTTTCATTTTCTCTGCTCTCTGGTCCCCCTCGTTAATGAAAGGTTATGTTATGTTTCTCTCTCCAACGTGCTCAATGGTTAAGACAGGCCAGGACTTACCCAAACCCCACCATGTGCTCCAGCTCTGGGAGGACCCTACGTCTTCACGCTCATCAGTTCCACCACATACTTACGCCGAGTCATTCCCACGCATGCTCAAAACACTCTCTGCCTCCTGATTGGAACTTCTTAACATTAGTACTTAAAAATGTCCCTTGTCCTTTAATATCATTCTAATAATTGTAATCAGCATTGTGGGATGAGTCCCACAGAGCAATAATGCGCCACAATGAGTTACTCATCGGGGCCTCCAGCTGGCCTGACCCGCAATCCATCATCTCCCACAGAGCTTGCAACAAGGAAAACTTTGGCTTAATTAAGCACAAAGCAAGTTTTCTTTTTTTATTTTTTCATGTCAAGAACAGGGCAGAAGCCTGCTGAGTACTTCTTAAGGGCGCACATCAGGACACCTCAAATGAGTGGGACTGTACCCAGGGAGAACTTAGCACCCAGCACACGTTCAACCCTAACTACAAGACCAGGGCAGCTGGCCACCTCTGCCGCGGCTCCCGCTCAGCAAGGTCGGTCCTCAGCGGCAGGTGAAGCTCTCAGGCTGGAGCCAGCAGGCCCTGCAGCCGCCCTCACCTGTGTGAACTTGATGGTGAAGATGGCATGAGACCGGCTGCTGACGTCGTTCATCCCGGTGGCGGCGGTGGTCCGGTTGATGTTGCCTGCGTCCATGAGCTCTTCGACGTCACCGTAATTCTGCACCAAGTGTTTGGACAAATCTGAAAAATCAAGAGGGTGTGAGGAAACCTACCCAATATATCGTCCATGGGAAAGGAAATGCACCTCTACAAACTAATGCGCAGCGGTGCAAACCTGCTGACTTGTTCCGACAGGGTGGTGGCTGATAACTAGCCTCGGGAGCTGGGCTGCCTCGGGTCCCGCCCCAGCTCTGCGGCTTCCGAGAACACTTACCTGGTTATGAACAGGTCACTTAACCTCACTGGGCCTCTGTCACCCCACCTGACACTGCGTACCCATCACCTGTGGCATTTAGGATAACCTAACTGAGAGCTACCATCGCCAGCATCGCTACCGTCAGCCACAGCCAGAGAAATGCGCACACTACTTCCACGCTAAACCCTATAGCATCCTTTTTAAATCCTTTTCAGACACTTTTTATTCGTCTTTTCAGAAACATTCATATGGTTCTAAAGCCAAAGGCTACAAAAAGTATTCTGTGTAAAGGGTCTCCCCCCTCCCCCACCCAATAACCGACCCCCCCCCTTTCTGTCAGGCAACCCAAGGTTATGAGTTTCTCCAGACCCTTCCAGAAATAACCATACGTATACAGGCAGTTACACATATATAAAACCAGCTCCTTCTCCCCTTTCACACATGGCAGCCTACCACACACGCTGTTTCACATCCTGCTCTTTTCTGTGTAGTGGTACACTGAAGAACATTCTATATCAGTTAAGGTGATTCATTCATTTTTGTGGCTGCAGAGCACTCGACCATACACATGTTCCAACTTAACAGTCTCCTATTAAGACTGTAGAGGTTGTTTAGATTTTGTTTCCAATACAAATAACGCTGCTACAAGTAATCTTGTACGTAGGTCTTTACCAACATGTGACAATTTCTGCAGAATAAATTCTTGAGGGGTGGAATTGCTAGATCAAAGCACATTAGAAATTCTGATGCAACTGCACAGCTGTTCTCCATGGAAGGCAAGTCACACCCAGCAACAGCAAAGCCTAAGACTGCCCATCTCCCAACCTGTTTCGTTAGGTTTCCCCACATCAGCTGGGGACAGGGAACAGATGTTATCTCAAAGAATTTTTATTTTCCTTTTCTCTGATTATGAGCGAGGCTGAGCATTCTTTCCTCCATTTAAAAACCATCAGTGTTTCCATTTTTGTGGACAGTCTAGTCGCACTCTTTGTTCATTCTTCTCCTTGGTGCTGCAGCTGTCCTTACTAATTTATATGTGCTCTTTATATATTAGGGAAACTAGTCCTTTGTCTGAAACTTGCACTGAAAATACTTTCTTCACTTTGTAAGTTGTGGTTTTACTTTGCTTATGGTGTTTCTGCCAAGTATAAAGTTGGCTTTTTGTTTTGTTTTGCTTTACCATTTCAAAGTTAACACTTTCATTTCATGGTTACTGGATTTTAAGTAAAAAATTTTTTAAACTTTCCTTTCTCCATTTCTAGAAAAAAGTAACTCAGAGTTTCTCACAGTCATTATGTCACTTTTTACATTTAAATCTTTGACCCATTTGCCATTTGCCTTAGCATAAAAACTGAGCTCTGGTACCTATTTTCTTGTTTTCCCTCCCAGACAGGTTAATAACCCATATTCCCCTGATGTTTCAACAGCAGATCTGTTAGAAACTAAATCCCCAGTAAGTATCTCCATCAGATTCTGGATGTTTCACCCTCTTTGATTATTCTGTCTCTTCACAAGCCAGCTTTATACCATGTGGTAACATCTGATAAGACAATTAAAGGGGAAACACGAAGGCACAGTTAGGCTAAAACTATTAACAATAATAGTTATCCCACACTCCACAAAACAAATACATAGCTCCACACCTCACGTTGGGCAGAACAGGCAAAAGTTCAATTAAACATTTACTATCATGCAGATGGCATCCTGTCAGTGCACCTGGTATCTTCAGGTCAAAAAGGCAACGGAAACAGGAACACCTTCAAACCCATGACGAGCCTTCAGCCTGGCCTCCAGCGAGCCACACAGGAAGGACCACAGCCACAGGACAGCCCACAGGCCGCCGGCCGGCCAGCCGCTGCTCCCCTGCTGCGCACAGCGGAGGTGTGGAGAGCTGACTATTCTAAGGACAGCCTTCAATCCAGCCCACTGTTAAGATAATTAGCAAGGCCCATTACCCCTTGGGACACCCCTCACAACGGACTGTGACGCAGGCCGTGAACCACAGCACGAAGGCCAAGCACGGCACAGGAAACTGCAAACCCTCTTCTCAAAGGTGAGAGCTCTCAGATTCTCCCTATAGGCACATGGTACCACGAAGGTCAGTAAAAATACACCGCTATCACGCACGGCCATTGAAAGAGACAGGTTAGGTTGCTTATCTTGCCTGAGAACTTTGGAAAACAAGTTTCTCGAGTTCTCAAAGCCAGAGGACATCTACTGGCAAGCCCCACAAAGTCAGCAGATGCCCAGTGAAGTACAAATGCATTAAATGAACAGCGGGTAGTGACAGAACACGTCATTTTTACTAGAATAAAAAGTCCAAAAGTAATTTTTTTTTAAATCTCACCATTAGCCTAGATTTTTTTTTCTCTGAAACTCTAATTTTTACAAAAATTCCCAAGAAGAATAGGGCTGTGAAAATTCACTCTGTTCACTCTTACCCTCAACATAAGGTCCCTCTTTTGGATGCTCCCGGACTCGTAAATTGAAGGTTTTGGATGACTTCCGGCGAAGTAGATCTCTCACACGTTCATTATAAATTTCTAAGTAGCTAAAAGGGCCAAATAGAGTTGAATTCAGTAAAGTGACTTCAGACATTAATAGCAACGACAGCACCAGCCACATCCACGTGTGGGTGGTGACCAGCTGCCGGGGGCGCACTTTACCTGCAGTATTTCACTACACCAGCCCAGAGGCAGGTACCAGTATTCTCTCCATTTTACAGGGGAGGCAATAGAGGCTGAGGGTGATTTAAATACCTTGTCCAAGGCCACACAGCCACGAGAGGTCAGGCAGCAAGGAGGACACTTGATTGCTACGTCTGCCCCCAGACCACTGTCTCCTCACACAGGTTTAAGTTTAAGGAGGACAAAAAAGCCTCCACCACCCAGACTGACTTAAAGATTAGATTTACAGTGATCCTACCAACAAAAAGAATCACACAAGTCTTATTCAACTGAAGAATAAGGCAAGGAGGTAGACACTGAAAGGCCAAATACTTCCTCCATTTGAGGTGAGCATCTGACATGCGTTTCTGACCGAACTGCATGCATGACCTCTACCAGCCTCCCAAACCCTAATCCAAATGGTACCCGAGAAAGTCACTGAAGACATATGTGCTTTGAGCTTTATTGCCAACTCTCACAGTACAGGAGGGGAAGGAGGCAGACTCTCCTTTCAGGAATCCAAAGCCCTTATCCATTCCTTGTGCCCCGAATCAAGCTCACACTCAGTGACTCAGGCCACACCAGACTCTACCTGACTTCGGTTCGGAAAGACGCTTCATCCCATCTGGTGGTTTCATTTATCCGACTGAAAAGTCCTTCGCAGATCCGGGGTATTAAGCCAGAATCGCCCTGCAGTGGGAGGAACGTCTCAGCTGTCACTTGAAGTAAAGCAATCCATGACTGCCTTTGGAATTTGCTGGAGTGGACTCAGATTCCAGGGGCCCGCAGGCCCACCCCAGGGCCCCAGGCACACCACCCACCCCGCCAGGACTGCTTCCTATTCTCGGAATGAGAGGACTGAGCTTTCTAGTTTCTACATGCTGGGACCACGGCTATAATAGGCAATCACCAGCTGTTAATCGGCCAAATCGTGGCTTGCAGACACAAAGGGACTTATTCTCTAGTTTTCAAACAAGACAATCTACTGCTGTAAAACCCATGTTACAAATCTAATCTGGTCAGAGGACAAAAAAAAAAGTTGAAATACACACTCAGCAGAGAAGAAACATTAATGTAATCTTAGTAAGTCCTCAAAGTAGCTAAGAATTGTCTTAAAATTTAGGTGATGACCACATTAAAAGATGCAGTGTATCCCTGCTTTGATGCACGAACGCCTGCACTGGCCTCCCTGACAGGACCGTTCTGACACCCTGTGTCACTCAGGCAGCGTGGGCAGCACCAGTAATATGCACACTTTCGCCAGCACCGACAAGCTTGTGAACTTCAGAACAGGGCTAAAGACGAGGAAAATGTTCCTGTTAGAGGCCAAAACTTTAGGGCTTCCGTGATGTCTTCTGAAGTCCCTCCCTCCCTTCACCCGATCTCCCACCCAAAAAGTTTTTTTTAAATATCAGCCCAGGTTTAGGAATTTTTTTTTCCTTTATACCATTAACTCAGCACCAATTCTTGTCAAGAAAAATTATACCTTTCATCATATATTTTGTTCTTACTTTAAAAAACAAAATAAAAATATCCAAACAGTCCTCAGCCATAAGGTCAGAGAAAAACAGCTGTAATTTATGAGTGCTTTATAGATGTGGAACTTCCATAAAACAGCTAAGAGGGAGTCAACATGCAAACTTCATTTTTAGAGAAGGCGTTTTTCCCGAAGGCACAGTGGAAAAGTAGGAAGAGAGCAGTATCCCTAAGAGGAAATGTAAAACTCTTAAAACTGTCTGTTCTTCCCTTAAATCCGTCCCTACTCTCCAGCACCGAGGGTTCGCAGCACAGCTTTGAGCTCCTCCTCTTGGAAAGGGCAAGCCTGGATTTAAGACGCCAGGACCCACGCACTGAAGGGCCTGCATCTGGAAAGACTGGCCCTGCTTTAACGCACGACAGCTTCCAGCAACCACCGAGCGCTAGCGTGCAAGGCACCACTGAGCCCGCAGCAGGAAGCCCTGGGACCCTCCCCTCGAACCCCCACTTCCAGAGCAGGCCACCGCTCTGAGCATCAGCGGACAGTGTCACCACGACATCAGAAAAGTAAAACACACAAGCACTATGCAGACCTGAGGAAACACAGAACGGGATAAGGCCCTACAACGATGTCTAGTTTTCCCTCAGCCGTATGTGGGGGCAAGTGTACCTTTAAAGTCGTTACTTTATACAGCCCACCCGCCAAACTCTGCACCCGATGTTTATAACGTGTAGGTGCGCTCTGTATAACCTGTGTAATTCTTACACTTTTTATGTATTTGCAGGATGTACGTAGCGTCTTTCCACCAAAGAGATTTTTTTTTTACATTTTTCTTGTGAAAAAGTGTTTTGAATAATTTTAAAAAGAACAGAGTTCAGTAATTTTATTCAAACTGTTGGGTTGGCAGGAAAGAAGAATAAATTACTTGTGGGCCCAGCATACTTTTTTGATAAGATTATAAAGCCTTTAAAAATGGAAGATGAACTGAGACTCGCATCCATTATTCATGCTTATAAAACTTAAAACTCTTTCTAATTTAAAATATCTCAAAGGAAATTTAGTCCAACTTACTACTGAGTTTTATCTTACTGCTAAAGAATGATCAGAACATGAAAAGCAAGTCAGTACAGACCACGTGATGAAAGGGGTCATTTTTATCAGCCCAAAGAGAGAGAACTAGAAACTCCCTCCCTACACAGTGCAAACCACGTACAGAATCTCCCATCATGGTGTACGACTTCCCTGATCCAGTTTGTCCGTATGCAAAGACACAGGCGTTATAACCTTCAAACGCAGACTTCACAACATCTGTACCGAGGGTTTTGAAAACCTGAATGCAAAAAGAAAAAAGAAAAAAACACAAAAGATACAATGACAATTACCATGGATTTTCATAAAAGCCATTTTAATAAAAAAAAAAGCATTCCTGAATGCTACTTTCATCTCAGGATTACACCCTATAAATAAATCACTGCAGAGCCGTTAACAACAGAATACATGTGCACTCCAGTTTTTAATCAAAAGGAAACTTTTTAAGGAAGCAAAAAGCAACCCCATCCTTTTTCCCCACTTAAGTTAACAGAAAATTCCTGAACTATAAACATGTAAACAAGGCAAAATGACAATTATGTGTAGAAGCAAAGATGATTTTAAAGCCTGATGATTTACCATTTCAGAGTTAAATAAACTTATAAAGTGATTCACTGTATCAGAGCTTCTAGAAACTAAATATTCAAAACCTGAAAGTCACGACAACCAGAAGGTACAGCTCAAACCGTGCCAAATCAATGGCATCGTTTTAAGAGTCCGGCTACTCATCGAAATAGTCTCAGGAGGCCCCTGCAGAGCTGAGTGATGGGTGAGTGCGGACGAGGCTGGATGCCTGGGCCCCTCCGGTCAGAGTGCAGGTGCTTCTTCCTATTTGGACACTTGCCCGGGAGGGGGAGGGCAGGAAGGCTACCTGTGTGGGGCCCGGCTGGCACCTGCAGAGGCCGGAGTCCTGTCCACTGCCCCACACAACTGCAGTGGGGCACCTCGGGGGACGGAGGGAATGAAGGACGAATGCCTGACCCCCACGATAGATGGAAATGAGACCTTCCAAACCCCCACAAACATTCACATTGCCTCCTGCCCTCTCGGACCAGCACACGAAGGGCACCCGGAACACGTCCCCGCTTCGAAGACAAAGCACGTCGGCAGCTGGAGAGATACCGGAGGGAAGGAGCGCGACCGAGCTCCCAGGAAGAGCCAGAGAACGGTGTGTGGTCACCGCCGTCCACAGTGGGGCCCCATCGAGCCCCAGGAGGGTTCAGTCCCTGTGAGTGGTGCCGGGTGAGCACCACCTCCCGTGGGGAGGGGGGCCCTCGGGCTGGGTCACCCCCACCCCCGCCCCGCCCAGACAGGGCTGAGGATCACTGGCCAGCATGCGCCCTCCTCCACATCAGCAGCCCTGCCGCCAACACGCCTGTCACCCAAGACGAGATAAAAGGACTCCGCTCTCTTCAGGCAGCATCCTCCCACCACCTTGTTTAGACTCAGTGTCCTCGGTCTCGTCAAAGAGTCACATACGATCACGGCAACTGAGCCCCTTCCACAGACGGCCACTGCCTTACTTCAGCCGTCTGAGTCAATTCACACCCATTTCAGCTTCAGGAGCTGATATTCTCTGATCTCAGTCTCAAATTCTGCTGACTCAGTCAACTCTTAACTACAAGAGTTGCCAAACTGTGTCCGTCGTGTCCTCTGTCCTTGCAGAAACACTGCGGGGGGGGGGCAACGTCGCTAGATCTGTTTTCCAGGAGGAGAGCCGGCTCACCGAGCGTGCAGTGAGGGGCAGAGTTGGCATGTGCACCCGGCCTATCTGACCCCTAAGCCTATGCTTCTAACGGCCTCATCGCTGAGTCCTCTCTTCCCATATTCTCGACACCAACCTGGCTCAGTCTCAGGTTTAAGTTGTCTGGGACCCAGAAAAGCAGCAGGATGCTGCCCGCCTCTCCAGGGCTCCCAGCGAGGAAGAGGCCGCCCCAGGGCAGCACCCACAGAGGACTGATTCCCCATCATCTAGCAAACCAGGGTGGGGATGAGACAGGCGTCCTGCCCTGCCCCACGGGCCTCAAGCCCCGCTGAGCTCCTCCGCCGCCAGGGTATCCCCTCCACCTCCACCTCCACCCTGGGCTCCTCTGAGCGACTGGCAGGATGACTTCCAGAGTAAAGGGAGGCATCTCGGGGCCTCACTCTGGTGAAACTGCCCACAAGAGGGCACCGTTCAAACAGAAGACTGTCCCATCCAACTCCTCAACTGGGGGATTTTAGGTTTCAAGCTTCTCGGGGATGAATCAAGGAACAGGCTGAGTGAGATCAAAGCCTCCCTTCGGAGTTTGAAGAACCATTAAGAAAATGAGACCTTACCTAATGGTCTTTAATTTACATGACTATGGAATTAAACTGCTCACTAATTTTTTTTCCTACATCTAAAATTAACCTGGAAGGGAGCAATATGAATGGTCATCTTACTTGGAATTTGTTTAACATTAAAGAAACTTGATTTGAACTATAGTAATGAGCATGATATGTCTTCTCAAGATTCCTTTATGTTTAAAAGTTTACAAAAAAAGAGAAGAAAAGACAAGGGCCACATCACGCTTAGTAGCCCGCAGCTTCCCCTGAGCAAGCTGTCAGCCCGGGTCCTGGGCTGGACCCAGCCACGTGAGTAGCTACGACACCAGCGATGAAAGTCGGGGCTGAGGAAGAGGACCCTCTCTTTAGGAGGGCTGAAAAACTAGGTATTTTCCTGTGTCTCTGCTGGTGTTAGTAACATGTGCTTCAGTGTTTACCAACGTATCTCAAGGCTTTTTTACTTTTGAACTGAGTGTACTGATCCGCTGAGATCGTCCCAGAGCCAAAGAACACAAAACATCTGAAGCCCACACAGTGGAAGTGGGGTGCCTCCTCCCCAGGTGAACACTCCTCACAACCTCAAACTTTTTAAACTCTGGGCATGCATTTGTAACCTGCAAAACAACTAACCGTGCTGCTGCTCCCCTGACCTTGACTCTCCTTGAACCCAGGAAACCCAGCTGCTCCCATAAATTCACCACCCGCCGCCGCAGAGGAGCCCTCGGTGAGCACCCCAGGGGAGCCAGGCTCCCGCCGCTCCCCTCCCGCCCCTGGTCCCTGCGCTTTCCCTCAGCACCACCCTCGTCCCCAAAGGCCTCACATCTGGGTTAAACGAGGGAAAACCCCGCCACTCGCTGGGTAAGTTAGAACTGGAGACCTTGACGGCCTCATCCGTCCTCTGGTGGAGACGCTCTGAGGACTGCCACAAACTAGCTTTTCCCTCAAACTCGCTCGTACCAGCCACTTCATTCCCATTCCTCTGTTAAAGCCAAAATCTGGATTCTAACGGCTGTGACATTCTCTCTAGTCCTCACCAGACTCCTAGCCACCAGCGTGGATTAATCCAGTTACCTCAGCACCAAAGTCAACCTCACTCACTCGCTCACCCACTTATTCATGCAGCGGGCCCCTAGACGTATCCACCACTAAGGACACACCTCTCTTCTCTTTCTCATCCTGAAGACCCTCCAGTGGCTTCTCCACCGCCCTATACGTCAGCCCCACGATCTGAACTCTGCTACTATTCAGCCAATTAGATCAATGGACTCGAGCAAATTATTTAAGCTCACTAAGTCTCTTCCACAAAGAAAAATGGAGCTAAGGTTGGCCTCATTTGGCTCTCATGAGGATTCAACGCGTCAGCAAACATGAGCACCAAGCAGCGTTTCTGACTCGGACACAAACTCAAGCCACAAGAGTTCACCCTTCCTCTCCCGGCCCTTTGTCCACAGCAGGTCTCTCCCATGGCCCCAGTCCTGCTGCCGGTCCTTTCCAGGTCTCCCTGACACTGAGTCAGCAGCTTCCGACACAATCACTCCGGTCCTCTCCTTGGAACAACTTTCCTATGTTCACAGCGTATCTTGAGGCCAACATTTACATCTCCTCCAAGAGCCACTCTCCTCCACAAACCACTTTTTAGCCAGCTATGGTTCTCAGATGTTAAGGAGTGTGCAGGTCACCTGGGGATTTTGCCAAAAAGAAAAGCACTTTGATTCAGTAGGTCTGGAATGGTTCCTGAAGTTCTGCACTCCTGCCACTTTCCCTGGCAATGCTGATGATTCTGGTAGATGGACAACAAACTAGACAATGATACCACTTCAAGACGCCATCGCCTGGCTTACAACCCAGGGCAGGCGGGGCAGGAACTGTCATCTCATTTTACCACCTGGAAACCTGAAGCAATATTTCCAAAGAAACTGTTAAGAAGGCAGGAAGAAGCCCAGCTGAGACGCCACGTTCTTCCCCCCACCCCACACCTGCGCATCCCCATAACCCCACTCTACTCTAACACCCTCCTTGTCCCACCCAGGGGAATACACCTGTCCCTCTGGTCACGTGACACAGGGGCATGTGATGGTCTCCTGGAGCATCTTTGGGTCAGTTCTCATCTGCTCAGGTCATGTCTACACTTAGATCACAGACGCCTACAGCACAGGTTTTCTGGACAAATTCCAGCTTCATTCTAGTTCTGGGAAGATTAGGAACCAAATGTTCTTTCTAGAACCTATGATAACTCACCCAAGCAGGGGAAATGTGACTTGGGTTTGAAGTCTACCTCCTAAAGCTCGGTATGGCAGCAGGACTCAAGGCCAAGTGGCTTATCCCAGGCAGATGTCAGAGATACTGAGGGTCCAGTTGCAGATCACCGCAATAAAGCGAGAATCGCAGTGAAGTGAGTCACACGAATGTTTTGTCTCTCAGTCCACATAAAAGTTACGTTTATACTATACTGTAGTCTACTAAGTGTATAGTAGCATTATGTCTAAAAAAATAATAGACCTACCTTAATTTAAAAATACTTTCTTGTTAAAAAATCCTAACCATCATCTGTGCCTTTAACAAGTCGTAATCTTTTTGCAGTAATAACATGAACATGGGTAACATGATCACAGACCACAACAAATATAATAATAATGAAAAAGTTTGAAATACTGTGAGAATTACCAAAATGTGACAGAGACATGAAGTGAAGCAAACGCTGTTGGAAAATGGTACCAATAGACTCGCTTGGCCACAACCTTCAATTTGCAAAAAATGCAGTATCTACAAAGCACAGCAAAGCAAAGCGCAGTAAAATCAGGCACACCTGCCAACGTCCCCCAAAAGGGCTTCATTTGCAGAGCTCCTTTAAAACAGTGGTCATGGCCGAGTTTTGAAATAAAAATTATGATCATGCTCAGAAGTGGGAAAAAAAAAATCAAACCCTCTCAGGCTGAAGATAAATGATGCTATGTAACAACCAAAAAGCTGAGTTAGCAAAGGCTAATTTTATATAAGTCATATTCAGAAAAAAAAACTAGCAATATGCTTTAAAGCATTTTAGGATAAGGATGTTTTTTCTTGGCACGATAACAAACCAAAATAGAGTATTTGAAAATATCATACCATTTCTTGTGAAACGTAATCTGGACTTTTAGGATCAGCAGAATAAAAAGAGAAGTCATAGGTGAAGGTCTTGGTCCTTTCTCTTCCTGAGTCCCCGGTCCCTCCTTCCGGTATCTGGAGAGAGATGATCGAGGGGGTAATAACAACATAAAGAGCCCTGTCGGCTGACAAGCAACCCATCCAATTCAAGAGAAAAAAAACTTCATAAAAAAATATACAATAATCACCATTTCCCATTATTTACACCCTGACTCAAATTCATTTCACTCCTCCTGACCACTTCCTGAATGAATGAATGAATGAATGAGAAACAAACAAACAAGCAAACATGAGCTTCTCCCAGTAGCTCAGGCTCTCTACCCAAGGCTACTTCTCTGGACCTTTTATCATGATTACCTGATGTGAACCTGACACTCCAGCCAGACTCTGTTTTTTTTTTTTTTTTCTGGCTTCATTGCTTTTTACTGTCCCCTCCACCCAAAACCACCAGAGCTGGCGTCTACACAATTCCAGAGGTGCTATTCACATAGATCACGACGTGACTAGCAGTGGCCCCACTAGAAACTCCAGGTCAGAGGCTTCCTCATCCACGAACCTTCCCTTGGGCACTCCATCCAGAAGTAATTTCTCCCCCTCTGAGAGACTAGACCCTCCCAGGACACAGCATAATATGAATTTATTGCATTTGTCTGCATACATCTTGCCTACCTTGTAGATACCTAAACTGAACCAGAACCATGTTTAGAAATCTTCATATGCCACCAAAGCCTGGCACAGTTCCCTGGACATATGCTGAATATAATTAATCATCATATTTTCTAACATATGCAGGTACTATAAAGAAAATTTTTAAGGTTCTTATTATTAAAATGTTAAAAATCCAGGGCTCTATTATGGTTATAACAGACAAGGAAATGTTTGTACAACTCAAAAAGCAACAGAGTGATCAAAGAAAACAGATTCCATAACACACAAAGAAAGGAGACTCATCCAAGGCCAGGGCACTCCTTGCTCAGTTTCAGTAAATACAGTTTTTGAATGATTAGACCTCTACCACAGCACCGTGAGCACACAGAGATACACGAAGCAGAGCAAAGGTGACTGACAGCAGAGAACGGACGAGGGCTGACCGGCAGCAGCGTGAGAAGATGCAGGAGGTCGGAGGAGGGAAAGCTGGGTGTGGGCCAGGTGGAGCTGGAAGGGGGTCTGGGGTCAGAGGAGAAAGCAAGACATTCCCCTGGAGAACGCCTCAGACCAAGGGCCACCAGAGCCCCAGAGGCGGCCTCTCCAAGCACCCAGAGCACAGCCCGGTCAGGAGATGGGCACATTCCCCAGAGTCCACCCCTGGAGATCAAGTTGCACAACTTTAAACTGGATCTCAAAGTGCCTGGTCCCTTGAAGCACGAAGTAACAGAAATCCAAGCAGAGGCTGATCTACACTTGGCCGGGGGCCAGAAGGCCTCTGAAACCCAAATCTGTGAGCTGACAACAAACACGGACGGAGAGCGGGGTTGACTCCACAAAGTACAGATTCCTTTATTACAGATTTCTCACTCCTCTTTTTCCCCTAAGTAGAAAGTACTCAGGGTCCTTTGCAAGTTCAGACCAAAGGAAAAACCAGGATATTTTAAGTACAAAAAGAAGAACTCGCCATCTTAGAAAATGCTGTTTGTTTGTTTGTTTTTTAATTTTTCATCTCCTGGTTTTTGAAGAATAATACCAGCTCCTCTTGCAAAGCTTATAGAATTAATTATCTGTATTAAAAATGAAAACAGATCTGGGGCCAAAGCATATTTAATGATCTACCGTGAGCCAGTGGCCAGGCTAGGGGTCCACATAGAACTGTCTGGGTAGGAGTAAACCCATACGCTCACATCCCAGAGCTCCAGCTCAGACCTGTTTCCCAGATCAATGAAACCAGGGACGAGAGAGGAAACAGCATCAACCCTTTGGCATCACGACTGAGCCCAGGCCAAGTGCAAGCTGACGTGGTGAACTGAACTGAGAAGGGAGGAGAATGGAAACAGTAGGTGTGTCTATTTACCCACAAACCATCTGGTGCTGAAACAAACACGGAACTTATGGAACTGGAGCCAAGGTCAGGTCGCTACTTGCCTTTAAGTTTGTGATTGTTGTTTTGCTTTTCTCCATTTGAATAATGAATTTGGCTTCCAAGTCCTTTTCCCTGCAACACAAATAATTCAGTGTTGGTTAGAAGAGAAAAGAATGTTTCTAAATTGTTTATTGTATTTACTTGTTACATATGGCGGTTTGTTTGTAAATGGCATATGAAGCACAACCTCTGACACTCCCCCCAAATACTCACTAACAGGAATATGAAGACACACAAAACAGATGCCACCATCAAAAACTTAGGACTGAAAATACTGTGTTGTCGAAACCTGGAAGAATTTCTACCTGGAAGCCAAAAGAAGTGTAAGTGAAAAGACAGAAAACATGGACGGCTGTGTGACTCAGGAAAATGGCAGCCCCATGGAGCTGGTCCAAAAAAAAACGACACCTTATCCCTTCATCCAGGATGAGAACTAAGAAGAAAAGTGAAGTGAGTGGTCACAACCAGGTGCTACTTCTAGAGGCAGCCTGGACACTGTCCCCTGCCCTCAACCTTGTCTCTACATTCATTCAGAAACTGTAATTCCTAGAAAACATCAGAATAGGAAATTAAGAGAACTCCTAAAAAGTGCAGTTCTCTGGGGGAAATGAGCATACACCCATGCAATGGAGCGTGATATCACTGGAAAAGGAAGGAGGAAGGTCTCTGTGTTATATACCAGTGTGGATGGAGGCCAGGAGATGTTAAGTGGAAAATGCGAGGTGTAGAAAAGTACACACAGAATGCCACCACTTATAGTTAAAGATGAAAAGGACATCCCATTTATTTTTCAAAAGGTTACCCATGGAGAAAGAAGATGAAGTGGAAGACACAGGGACAGAAGCTAGATTTCCACAAAAATACCTTGATCTCTAGGTCATCTTTAGAACATAAAAATAATTCACACAAAAATAAAACAGTATTTTAAAATAACCTAAAACACAAAAGAAAGTTGAAGCAAATGAACTTAACCATGTGCCACATGGTGAGAAAGGGTCTCAATGACAACTGTCTGGAGGAATCTAATCCAAGGAGAGAAAGAACTACAAAGAAATCTTAAAGCTCTTTCAGGAATCGTATTTTTAATGATAAAACAATTGTGGTTATTCTGGGATTTCTGTTTATGAAGTGTGGAATAATACATGAGTAATTATGTTGCTGCCACTGAGAATCAAAGTTTTTGGTAGAAAGGAGATAGAAACATTAGATTTGTTAAAAAGAAACTATGGGGTCAAAATGGAGTCACTGATGCTAAGTCCCACCAAGACAATACCTGACTTAATGCAGTTTCAGCCTCTCCCAGGAGCAGAGTCCTAAACCAAACAGTCTGGAATTTCCTGGTCGACACTAATAAGGTAACTTACCTGGTGAGATCCCAGTCTTCCCCAAGGGAAGTTGACTTTGCCTGAAATAACCCATTTTTTAACTTCCCGGTCACACCCTCCTTCTGCCGATCAAAGGCTTCCATCTTGTGTAGCTCCTAGGAGGGCCTTTCTACCTGCCAGATGGGATGCTGCCCGATGCATGAATCACTGAATAAAGCCAATCAGGTTTTCATATTTACTCAGCTGAATTTTTTTAAGACAGATTGATGAGGCTAGGTAAAAACTCCGTAGTCCTGAATCAGATGGGAAAGACTAACATGGACTTAATCTGAAATTGAAAAAAAGTACTCCCTAGCTTTGTCCTCTGTAAAGGCCTAGAATCTTAAGCCTAAATTATAGTATCTGAATACCATTTTCCACTAAAGTAAGCCATGGCTCTTTGGAGAAAGACTCAATCCAAATACGGGCAGACCTTGGAGATACTGTGGGCTGGGTTCCAGACCACTGCAATAAAGTGACTATCAAAACACAACACACTGAGTCACAGGAATTTTTTGTTTCCCAGAGCATATAAAAGTTATGTTTAAAGTGTGCAACAGCATTATGTCTAAAACAACAAAGTACATGCCTTAATTAAAGAATACTTTATTGCTAAAAAGTGCTAACCGTTGTCTGCCTCAGTGTTGACGGCTGTTGACCGGGGTGGCTGTGGCTACTTCTTAATATAACAAGTAACTCTCCCTCATCCATTGACTCTTCCTTCTATGAACAATTTCTCTGTAGCAAGAGATGCTGTTTGATAGCATTTAAACCACAGACTCAAAATTGGAGTCAATCCTCTCAAAGTCTGCTGCTGCTATGTCAATTAAGTCATTTCAACGATCTTCACAGCATCTCCACCAGGAGTCGATTCTATCTCAAGCAACCACTTTCTTTGCTCGTCCAGAAGAAGCACCTTCTCCTCCATTAAAGTTTTATCATGAGATTGTAGCAATTCAGTCACATCTTCAGGCTCCACATCTGATTCTAGTTCTCTTGCTGTTTCTACCACATCTGCAGGGACTTCCTCCACTGAAGTCATGAAACCCTCAAAGTCATCCATGAGGGTTGGAGTCAACTTCTTCCAAATACCTGCTAATGTTGGCATTTTGACCTCTTCCCCTGAATCATGAATGTTCTTACTGGCATCTAGAATGCTGACTCCCTTCCAGAAGGTTTTCAGTTTACTTTGCCCAGATCCATCAGAGGAATCACTGTCTATAGCAACTACGGCCTCACAAAATGTATTTCCTAAATAATAAGATTTGAAAGTTGAAATGACTCCTCAGCCCATGGGCTGCAGAGCGGATGCTGTGCTAGCCGCATGGAAACAGCATTCACCTCCTCGTCCATCTCCATCAGAGCTCCTGGGCGACCAGGTGTGCTGTTAATGAGCAGTAATATTTTGAAAGGAATCTTTTTTTTTCTGAGCAGTAGGTCTCAACAGCGGGCTTAAAATACTCAGTAACATGTTAAAAACAGATGTGCTGTCATCCAGGCTTTGTTGCTCCATCTAGAGAGCGCAGGCACAGTGGGTGAGCATCACTCTTAAGGGCCCTGGGATTTCCGGAATGACAAATGAGCTCTGGCTACAGCTTTAAGTCACCATCTGCATCAGCCCCTAACAAGAGAGTCAGCATGTCTTTTGCAGCTCTGAAGGCACTGACTTCTCCTCTCCAGCTATGAAAGTCCTGGATGGCATCTTCTTCCAACAGAAGGCTGTTTCGTCCGCACTGACAGTCTTGTTCCGTGTAGCCACCTTCATTCATCATCTTAAGCAGATCTTCTGGAGAACGTGCCGCAGCTTCTGCATCAGCACTTCTGCTTCACTTTGTGCGCTGATGTCAAGGAGACGGCTTCGTTCCTTCATGAACTTCATGAACGAATCTTTGCCAGCTTGAAACTCTTCTTCTGCAGCTTCCTCACCTCTCTCAGCCTTCACGGAATTGAAGAAAGTTATGGCCTGACTCTGGATGAGGCTTTAGCTTAAGAGAATGCTGTGGCTGGTGTGATCTGTCCAGACCACTCGGACTTTCTCCATGTCAGCCACAAGCCTGTTTTGTTTTCTTAGCCATGTGTTCACTGGAGCATCACTTTTACTGTCCTTCAAGAACTTTCCCCTGCATTCACAGCGTGGCTCACTGTCTGGCACAGGAGACCTAATTTTTGGCCTGTCTCAGCTTTCAACACACCTTCCTCACTAGGCTAAGTTTACTTATGTCTAGCTTTTGACTTAAAGTGAGAGACATGAGACTCTCCCTATTGCTCAATCACCTAGAGGCCTTTTAGAGGTTATTAGGCCTAATTTCACTATTGCTGTGTCAGGGACCAGGGAGGCCAGAGAAGAGGGAGAGACAGGGGAACAGCCAGTCTCTGGAGCAGTCAGAACACATACAGCATTTATTCATTAAGTTCGCCGTCTTGTTTGTGCACAGTTCATGGCACTGAAAACAATTACAGCAGAAATATCAAAGACGACTGATCACGGATCACCATGACAAATACAATAAAAGTTTGAAATATTGTGAGAATTATCAAAACATGACCCAGAGACATGAAGTGAGCAGATGCTGTTGGAAAAATTATGTCGACGATCTTGCTCGAAACAGGGTTGCCATAAACCTTCAATCTGTAAAAAATGCGGTATGTGTGAAGCATAGTGAAGGATAGTAAAAGAGGGGCTGCTCGCGTACGAAGGCGGGAACGCCGCATGTCAGACGTTACTAGGTTGTCTCAGCAACTTCCGAAACTGCTCCCAATGACCTCTGCCTCCAGGTATCTGTGCCCTGGTGATGCTCAGCCCTGGAGAGGGGCCTGGACCCAGGGACTCGCTTCCAATGACCAACACACCCCAAAGTGATGATCTGGACAGACCCACAGAGCAGGGGACCAAGTCCATCAGCAACCAGCAGGGTCAGCTTGGAAGACCCCCACCCCCAACCATGCTGGAGGGCATCTGGACTGCTGCCTTGAGAGAGACCCCGGGTAGAGGGACCCGGGTACCCTCCACCCAGACGTCCGCCTCCCAGAAAGTGTGAGATAATAAATGTTGCTTCCAGACCTTAAGTTCCAGGGTGATTTGTCACACAGTAAGATAACTGATACAAGGGCTTTGTCAAGAGGATGCAGGAGGCGACCTCAAGAAGTTCCCATGGGCCCAAGTTGAGCAGCAAAAAGAATAATAACTTCGACAGACAGAAACATAAAATATGCATAAACTTATGGACTCATAATTTAAAAATAAAAACAGAATGTCCCCCTTTGGAGAATCAAATAAATTACCACATTATTTTGGAAACTAGTAAATAAAGGGAAAGAATCAAGCATTTACCCTGCATTTCCTAAACGACCTGCACTCCAGGGTAACCAAATAGCTACTTGGGCAAGTTTCCCTTCTAGAGGCATGCTAGCTCACACAGGGAAGGGGAAGGAGAGGACTGGAGAAGCATCACTTCGCAGCAGGTTAATTAACGGCCCTAGGGAGTGACCATCAGTGGCTGCCGACTCTCCGACAACCAGACAAGCTGCGCATCTGAAATAAAGGACCAAACCAACACCACTGCCCCAGAATTCTTGCCCCTTCCCCACCTAAAAGGCCTGACTCTGACCTGGATCTGACGACAAGGCAGTGCACCAGTGAACACCACAGCGGGCAGGGGAAAGCGTCAAACAGTGCCGGAGGGCAATCAGCAAAACCCAGCCTCTGGGAAGGACGGCAGGGAAGTGACCCAGCTTACACAGCACCGACACCACACAGCGGGAAATACAAAGATGGGAGCGGAACCTACAGATTAAGAAAGACTTCAGAGACATATCAACCGAAAAGCATCTTTAGAAATTGTTAAGATATGTAGGGAAACGCTAACACTGACTAGATGTTTGATGACATTAAGGAATTACTACTATTTTAGGTGTGATAACGGTAGCATGATGATTTTAAAAGTTCCTAACCTTTTAAAGAGACACTGAAATATTTACAAATGAAATGATATGATGTCTGGGATTTATTTAAAAATAATCCTCGGGTTGGGGGAAGGGAAATAGCTCAGTGGCAGGAAACATCCTTAGCATACACGAAGTCCTGGATTCAATCCCTGGTACCTCCATTAAAAATAATAATAATAATAATAAATAAATAAATAAATAAATAAATGTCCTGGAGGGGGTGAGGAGGCGGGGTGGGAGGGTTGGAGCCAGGTAGGGGAGCACCCTGGCCACCTCAGGATGAACAGAAACAAAATAAATACCAGCCAGAACAATTAAGCCCCAAGAGCACATTGTAGCAAACACCATTCAAGAACTCCAGTGGCCCCCAGGGCTGTGTTGAACGTTTCCAAGCCAGGAGGAAGAAGCATACAGCTGGGCGAACAGAGCAACGGCTTAAAGACGAATGAAATCTCTCCTACGTGCAAGGAGCTCCCACTTCAACCCCCCAGGTCCTGGGCAGCAACACTGCGGACCCCAAAGTGAGTCCTTCCCCATGTTCATGTGGAAAACACATACTTCACACGGTGACCCCTCTCCTACAGCATTCAACTACCAAAGGGACGTTCTGCCCAGCAAGAGAGCCACAGGGATCCGCGCTGTTAACACCCCAGACGGCCACATTGCGGGCCCTCCCGTCTCCACGTGGGTCATTTCTCAACCACTCGCTAACCTACAGGGTCGAGATCTTGCACTTTAAAACCACTAGTATTGTCAACAGGGACCTGCTGGGAGCACAAAACCGTCCAGGGATCTCGGAGGATTAGATGTGACCACGACAGGCGCTCACACCACCTGCAATTCTTGCTTATAAAACATGAAGGAATGCAGGTCACAGGGCACCTACCCCTATTCTTGGAAGCCGGAGGTTAAGTAACTCTAAGGCTGGGAGCGTCAGAGCTTCAGAGCAGCTGAGTTTAAAGGGCCCTTCACACGATCACTTGTTCCAACCTGCAGGTAACCATGACAGCACTTTGCTAGTTTAAATTAACGTCCACTCTATCAAAATACCAGGAAAGATACTGACAGAAAGACTGGTATGTAACGTGAGCACCCACTTCTGAAATCAAAAACCAAGATGCTCAGGCGGTTCCCAGAGGTTCACAACCTTGAAATGGCAGATGCTGGGATGCAGTGGGCAGGGGGTGGGGGTGCAGCAGGCTCACTGTTCTGAGGGCCCAGAGCTTTCCTTGGCTTCTCAACAAGCTCTGTGCTCCAAAAAGCAGGAACCCCAGCTCAGACCCTTGTGGTTCAAAGCGCAGTCCAGGAACCGGCAGGTCTGGGGCCACGTTAGAAATGAGGGGTCTCAAGCCCCATTGTGGACCCACTGAACAGAACCTGCTAGAACAGGGGGCCTGAAGGTTGAGAAGCTTGGCTCTGATATCCTCCGAACACGACACGGTCACAGCTGGTCTTACAGTTACTCTCGTGAAACAGACTCCGCCAAGTCATCTCCCTGCAACCTGGAAAACTCACTAACTGTGTACTTTGACCTTTAAGTCTTACTTGTAAAATCACATGACAGGCCTGGCTATCACCTAAGCCAGCGGACACTCTGCTCTTTGCTCTTAAGTTGCACAGTGGCTTCTGCCTGAGAGCAATGTCTAACATCATCAGGTCCAAGGAGTCATCTGAGTGTTGTGACATCCAGGCTCCCTCACTTGTAGCTCCTTGCCAAGCTTCGAGCCCTTTCTATACCCAGACGGCTTCCGAACGTCAACGGAAAGCTGCTGCCAAAAGCTTGAGGTCATTTTAAAAACTAATCCCAGATCATCGTGATTAACATGGCAGCCGTCTGTTCCAGAAAGGAAATGCCACAAATAACAAGTTCCTAGATCATTTCCCTCTTAAGCATAAAAACTCAAACCCTAAGAAAAAGATGTACCTTTACTGTGAGAATAACCTCTAAGTCTAGTATTATAAATGCAAAGACGCCAGCTAGAGTGTCAGCCACAGACAACAGATCTCACTCTGGCTCCTGAAAAATCCTTCTGGCCAAGTCTGTGTAACCCCCACAGAGCAGTTATGACGGCCAGGGTTACTGAACGCTGACATGAACCCTTTGGTGCATTCATCATCCCCGAGAGACTCCAGGAGGGCTCTCAACTGTCCAAGTACTTCAGAGATGGAAGAAAGGATGAGGGTAGGCCTGCCCGGCTCAGCGCCCTCATCCACTGGAGCCCAGCTTCTGCTGGTGGCCTCCTCTCCACGCCCAGGGCCTCTAACTGCCGCAGGGGAATTGGGGTCCACGTCACACCCCCTCCTCCTCCCACCCAACGGTCAGTTACCCAGTCCCATCTGATCTAGCATCGGGCTACCAACCTGGGCCACCTGTCCCCACTGCACCGCCACCGTCCCAGGTCAGGCCACCACCACCTCCCCTTGGTCTCTTTGCCTCCAGCCTTGTCCCCTCCCACCCACACTGCACTCTGCTGTCAGAGGGCTTCCTTCCAAATGCCCCAGGCGCCACGTGGCTCCTCCCAGGCCACGCGGTGAAGCCCCACACCCAGCAGGACACAAAGGCCATCTGACCTGGCCCTGCCGTGTGGCGGCACCCTACACCCGCCCCTCCTACCCTTCCCCTGGCCAACACCCCGCTGGCCCTGCACACAGCCTCGACTTCACACCGTCGCTAAGCCTCTGCCCACCCCACAGTTAGATGACCCACCACTAGTCTCACCCCCAAGGCTGGGAAGCTCTCAGGAGTAAGGACTCTGCCTTCTGGGTCGACATCCCCGGGCTCTGCAGCAGGGCCTCACCTGTGAGGTGGCTGAGTGTGACAGACTGACTACAGCATTAAATGAATGCTCCCCCCACGGCCTACTCTTCACCAGGTGCGTCCCCCACTTAAGGCCACTCTCCCTACCGCACCCAATCCTGGGTGCTGGCTCTCCCACCCAGATGCCTGAGCGAGGCTTGTTCCATGAACCTTCAGAAACTCCTGCCCAGCTCATCCCACCCACGTGCCCTCGGCCCCTACTGGGGCCATCTTTCCAGTTGGTCTAGAATGATCCCAGAGAAGCCAGAATCCAACTGCCTCCTCACCCACATCCTGGGTCCCCCAAGCACAAAGGCGACACCCAAGTCAGCACCAGTGCCTTGTCCTCTGATCCTTCAGCGGAAAACTGCGGAACACCGGGCACGGGGTAATTTCCTCTCACGTTTAAGAAACTTGGGAAATAAATCTTGACATTTTTCTCATATTGAGGAAAATAAATAATCCTAAAATATCATTTGAACATCGATTTGATAATAGAGCAAAATAAACGATGTCTCTCCCTGGCCACGTTGGTGAATTGGGTTTCTCAAGCGAAAAGTCAATTATGGTCCACTCATATAAATAAGTAATTTATTTGAAAGGTCTGGAAACTAGACCATAAGATGCTACAAATGAACCACCTGGAGTAAGCAGGCTGAGAGTTATAGATCAATACTGAGGGAGGAGGAAGGAGGAGAAAGGAAAAGACATAAAATAGCCAACCAGAGAAAGAGATGAATTATGTCGGCTCTCAGATGTGACAGCAGGAGAAAGTTTACTAGGAAAAAAACAACTCTATGCTAATTCAAATATTTTGAAAATTGATTCCACTCTTGCAGCTGATGGTTACTTGGTCATTCCAGAAGAAAACAGCTGGACTGGGTGGCGGTGAGAGCTCCAAACTCGGCCATCAGCCAGGAAGACTCTAAAGAGAGGCTCATTCACCCTGAGTTCTGAAGTGAGCCGGCCTCCCCAGATTCACCCTACAAGTTACATACAATGAACGAGTATTTAACTGCCTTCATTCTGGTGACAGGACACTCAGTAGTAACAATGTTAAGCTCTATTTTTAAAATGAATGCACGTGCATAACCTTTAAAAACTGAATCACTATATTGTACACCTGTAACTTATGTAATATTGTACATTAACTATACTTCAATAAAAAACACAATTAAAATTAAAATAAATAAAATAAAAACAAAAAGAATGCATGACCTCCTCGGGTACTACTGTGGAAAGAAGTCCAAGGAACACTGTTAAGTGGGAGAAAGAACCACCTTTCAGCTCCTTCTAAGATGGCACTTTACTGGGTGGCCTCCTCCCGTCCTCTGAATGCCCAATTCCAGAACAAAAATCCAGACCAGGGCTATGCCTTCTGCGCTATCCCTGCTGGTCCAGCTGGGGCTTCTCTTCTGAACTCTAAACACCGAAGCACAGAGAAATACCGTCAGGTGGGGAGAAAGCAGGTGGTAAAAGAGCACAAAAACTATGATCCAATCTGCAGTAAAAAAGAAAAAAGGGCAAAGGGAAGGAAAAATAACACGTCCATACACTGAGGAACTACCTCCCCAGTTCCACTCGAGGTGGTGCGTAACCGGTACCACCACAGAAGCACAGGGGCAAGTTCATTCAGCATGTACAAGGGCTGCCGTCCTCCGGGCGTGAGGCTTAATTCTGGTCCCAGTGCAGAAAAGCTGGTAGAAAGCGCAAGAATTTCATACATTAAAAAACTCAAGCCCCAAATCAGGAAGGACTAAATTTTGCTCAAAGACTGAAGATGAGAATGACACTTTCACAGGGAATCTCGGACACTCCGCAGGGAGAACACCTCGAGGGCCAAGACGAAGCTTTGGGAAACGGAGGTGACAAAGGGAGGGGACTCAGAAGAGGAGACCCCGCCCATCACGGTCTCACCCAGAGAGAAACTGAGGCTGTGGAGGAGAAGTGAGTTGCTCACAGTTGCTCCCACAGAGTCAGCGTTGGGAAAGGTCGGGGTAATTCCAAATTAAGCCAGCAGTCAATACTTCAAAACCACAGAG